GGGTACAATCAAAACAATGAGGAGGACAACCCAGGGCAGCGCTGCATGCTGAAAATGCATTTTCGCATTAAACACAGCCTGCAGTTCAATCACAGCCATGTAAATCTTCACAGAGTCTATCTGTCCAGTTGCAGTATCTCCAAAATATATCCTGCTTGCGTATTTATTTATTTATCCACTTATGAATTTTCTTTTCCTCTATGCATAACACGTCCTGGCTAAATGCACTCTTTAGGAGGAAATCCTGCCAGCCGCTTCGGACGTACTCTGTGCTTCCAGCCGACATGGTAGTGGTGGTTTGGAAAGTCCACCCCCCAGCCTGCGGGGCTTTCAGGGGATTTATGACACGGGTCACTCCTCAGGCCCCTGTCCTAAAAGCCTAAGCTTCGCCCGCAGTGCCTGTCTGTACCGTGGTCCTCTTTGTCAGTTTAACTTTATACTGCTGTGTCCTTCAGGTTGGGGTGGGGGGGCACTTTTATTTGGCAGCTGTGTCCCTAATCCAGATCAGAACGGTCCTGGCTCATAATGCCAAAGGGTCCGTCCACTGCCGGGCCAGACACACCCTGTGTTACGCCCTGTTCATGTAACATGTTCCTAAACTGAGATGGGCTGCTGTATCAGCCAACTGGGGAGCACAGTTCCAACAACTGTATGGTATCTGTTTTATTTAGTGTTACTGAATTACAGTATAACTTTAGAACCCAGTGCATAAAGACTCCATTGCTGCCCTCTCAGCAAGCATGATCACTATGGTCATGGGCGAACCTTTGTGTTTGTTTGGGATGGTGTTCTGGTCCAGCCGCTGGCCTTGAACCACGTCCATCCTCCCGGCCTTGTAAGGTCCAGTGCCCCGCCGGTCCGGTGTCGTCCGTGCCCTTTTGGTGACATCTTTCTCCTTTTTCCCGCTGAGCGAAGGGGGACTTGCTGCAACCTGAAACCCCCCCAGTTGGGGCTCTGGCCACTCAAATCGTTGTTCAAGCGTGTTTGAACTTCTCAAGTTCACCTACATAAACGAGCTTTGGATTCATCTGGGGGTGGGGAGTTCATGGCGCCCATAGCCACTTATCACATCATCTACACCAGGTTTAAGTTGTTCTTCATTTTCTTTTTATATGGTGGAACCCTAGAAACTGGGTTCCAGATGGTATCAGGTGTTCTGGGTCATCACGGAAGTACAGCTTTCTTGGTGTATGACATCAGCCGCCAAGGCATTCCGATCTGTCGAATGTGGCACTTCGGTGCATCAATCCGTCTCGTTGAATTGCAGAATAAAATGCCATCAGTTTTCAGCTGCACAGATTGTTTTTGTCTGTAGAAGAAAAACAAACTATTTGTCACCAGCCTGGCTTCCCAAGAACCATATTGTAGTCTATGTGTGACAAAGGAATACATTTGTCTGGATGTGTTTATCCCACCCCTCCACTCCAACATCTGTGCCTTGGTAGGGATGGTGCCCCAAAGTGTCAGCCCCCCCCCCCACACCTCCAGCTCTGACAGCCTGTTATCTCCTCTGTGCAGGACCTCCCATGCCAGAGCTAAAGCGGAAGCTGCCGATCAGGCTGCCCTGTCTGCCCGCCAGGACTCTGACATCGCCAGGGCCGTGGCCAGGGAGCTGTCGCCAAGCTTCCGCCAACCAGGTAACCCAAACGGACAGCCACACTGACCGGTAACTCCCAACAACAAGGGGACCCATGCTTACATCCAAATCCCACCAACCCAGTAACCCAAACTGATGGCCACACTGACCGGTAACTCCCAACAACAAGGGGACCCACAATCACACCAAACTCCATACCATAACATTATCTGGACTGTGGTATTGGAGCTCATGGAAGAGATTGATCTAAATGAGTTTCATCTAGATGGGTGGGATTCTGGAATGTCCATGAGGCCTGTCGTAATAGGAGTCTGTAAATTCATTCAATGTGAAAAATGAACTAACCATCATGGAAACTCCCAATTACAGTGTACTTCCTATGAGAATTCCAATACAATAAAAGTACACTCAATGCATCCACCCATTCAGTCATGTTGCAATAAGGTCTTTTCCATTCAGGGTTTAGGTGACTGAAATCAGTTATGTTAAGCTCAGGGCACCTGTCCACTCAAGGTGTACAGAACCTGTCATGATAAACAGCCTTCTGGACTCCGAAGCTTCAACAGCTGGTGATTATCTCTGCAAGGCATTCTGCTAATCGCTGTGGTTGTCATGAAGAGCAGAGTTCTGTAGGGCTGTGATACTCAGCACCAGTGCCGCGAGCTGGTATCTCAGATGGGAGATAAGGAGAGCTTATTGATATTGACCAGTAAGCTGCCATGAATTAGTCACTGACAGGCAACACAGCCAAGCTAGAGGCCATCAGTAAGGGGAAATGAAAGCTTACTTGTCCTTTGTCTTTGTACAAATGCGACTCTGTGCATTTTGTACTGAAGGTGGGGCTCCCTTGTCCCAGATGGACGACTGTCGCTCGCGGGTACCGGGTCTGTGTACCGCCTCTGTTCTCTCATCTCGGTGCCGTCCCGCGTAAACATCCACACAGAGTCAGATGGCCACAGACATCACAGGAGCCCCCGACTCTATCGCCCGGCCTGTGCTGGAAAGCTCCAGAAGAAAAGAGGGCTGTCTAGCTGAGCCCAGGGGGGTGAGGAAAGCAGAACCAGGTTAGGGGCAGACGAAAGCCTTCCCCTGCCAATGAAGCTACAGGAGAATAACTAAAGAATCTTATAGCCATTCCATGCAGAAGCTCCCTGTAGAGGGTAATATTTTATTAATTAAGAAGATTCATAATTTATGATGTTAAACCTCAAACAGCATGTCATGCTAGCAAAGTATTTCAGGTCCTAAAAATTCTGGAAGCCAGTATAACACAATTTGCTCAGTCTTTTGCATCTACTGCTGGAATACAATTTTGTTTCTATTGTTGTAGCAGTGACTGACACGCAAGAAGCTTCAAGAAATGTGGTGTAGGGGTGACGTTCTTTAACGCAGTTAAACCCTCGGGTTTCCAACGGGCTGTTGCGTGTGGCGGTATTTTTAGCGTTATGTGCCGGCCGCGCATGGAACCCCGCCAAACGGCGGTATAATAGCATATGAGTAATAGAATGTCGATGAGAGCCATTCGCCAGCGCTCGTTTTATGCATGCACCCGAGGACGGACCATGCTGCTTGATTGTGTTATGGAAGAACGAGGTAATGCACTCCACCTACAGTATCACAGCCCACATGTCACTTTCCAGAAGCACCCAGGGTAGGGGGTCACTTCCTCTGGTGATCTTCCTTGTCTAGGTTAGAATTTCTAGGCAAAATCTGAATGGTATATCATGCTGACTGGCATTAGGCTAAGCATGATGATCATTCTTTTTAAACAGAGCAGGGGTTACTGTTACTTTTACATTTATTTATTTAAGACGCTTTTCTCCAAAGTGTCATGCAAGCTGTCAAGGAGCCATTTCGGCAAAAGTGGGACTGAGCTGAGCTTCCAGTGTAAGTTTAGTATCGGAGCAGGAGCTACACAATATGCTACAAACATCAAGAACCTTAGATAACACTTAATAACAAAAATACTTAAAGCAGTCATGTATAATACACTATAGATACCTTCATAATGCATTATGAATTGTATAATGCATTGGGAGATAAGGAGCCATAATTCATAAAGTATTATAAACATGGCTATAACTATTTATGAAAAGGCATAACACATTATAGACATGAGTATTATGTATTATGATTGCCTTATGATGCCTTATGATCTATAATAGATGACCATAGATACCTTTATAATGCAGTACAAAGCATCCTTAATTCTTATACCGGCCATTATATTGCATTATAAAGCTATCTATATTGCATTGTAGATGAGCTCTTCATAAAGCATTCATAATGCATAATTTATATGGCTATAATGTATTATGCCTTTTTATAAATATTTAAAGCCATGTTTATAGCACTTTATGAAGGCATTTATAATGCATAGCTTTAAGTAAAATATTACCAAACCTTATAAGACAGCTATTGTGATCAAAGGCAACTGCAAAATTAAAAGCATCCTGGATACACAAGTGACCAGCTATGGGAGCAGAGTTCAAGACAGAGCAGGTCAGTGGTCAAAGGGCTAGATGAGGGGTTCCCTGGACAGATGGGGCTTGAGGTGTTTATTGAAGGTTGAGAGGGATTCTGTTGACTGGATGTGGATGGGTAACTTGTAGCAACAATCAATGGACTTTGCATAAGAAACATCTAGAGTGAGACTTCTCACTTGACGGATATAGATGCAGTTTCGTTAACAGCTTCGAAAGCCAGAACCAAGGAACTGAACTAGATGCGAGTGCCAATAGAGAGCCAGTGTAAGTTATTGGTAACGCTTTACATTAACTGCAGCTTCATATTGCATTCATTATGCATTTATTGAGCATTCAGTGCAGCTTCATAATGCATTTACAATGCATTCATAGATGGAATGCATTCATATTTGGCCCCGGTCCAAATATCAAGGATGCTTTGGTTGCATCCTCGTTAACGAGATCAATCCCATGATTCATTGCGTCCCAAGCTTGCTCTTGGGAGGCAAGTTAGCAAGTATGCTCTTGCCAAGAACACAACTACGATCTCTGCGTTCTTGGAATTGAGAAACACGCCGTGTCTTTAGATTCGGGAAGGAAACCGGAGTACCTGTAGGAGACACTTAGCAGCACAGGAGGAGCATGCAAACTGCACACACACATAGAGCAGTCCTGGAATTCGAACCTGTGACCCTGGAGATGTGGGACACCGTGTCACCCAGTGATTAACAGTAGTAGTTGCATGTCATGTGTGTTTATCTGAGTGTGCTATACCAGGAACCTCAGCATCTGAAAAATTAAATAAAGAGACAGCTGGCATAATGATCTATAGACAGTGGAAATTAGTCTTCGGCTCTGAATTTGTATATTATTCAGCGCAGCCTTCATAAATGTATATAAATATGTGAACATTTATAAGAACTGTGCAAATTGTAAACATTGTCTACTGTGATTGCCATTAGCTCCAGAACTTTCTTCAGGCAGTATTTCAGAGGCTTATTCTTAATTTATACATGCAGATCATGAAAAAATGAGAGATTCTGTGAGAGATTATGCAGTGAAATGGGGATGGATGACAGGCTGAGTCAGAGCGGCGCGCCGCCCGGGACACGCCTTTCGGAGCGCCTGCGTCTGCAGCGCGCCGTCTCTCGCGGCGTGTTCTGTTCCATTCTGTTCTCTCCTCTGCTGTTCCGGCGCATTCCGCTGTCCTCAGTGGATACGCTGTCCCCCGTCGAGGTGCCTTTCATGGCTCTATCACCACATCAGCCTCTCTGCAGCATCACAGCCCTTAGATGTATCATTCCTGGTCTTATGCAGCTAAATATAAATTTAAACGTGGATAACTAACAAAATAGCAGGAATTTTAACAAGACGTGTGAAGTCGGCCTTTTTGATGCCGGCTGCCTCTGTAGGCAGCAGTCATTTATAAAATACAAGCCTGCAGCGGTGAGTAAACAGAGAAGAAGCTTCTGTCTCAGCTCTGATGGGGTATGAGCTGAAAGCTGGAATGGCGTCACCTTGTGTTTGTGCCGCCCGTCCATTTAAGGCGATGTTCTGTGTAAATTCGAGGGGAGGGAGTGTGCATGGTTCAGCTAAACAGCGTCCGTAACGCCGCTGCGTCTATGCAGCATTACAGCCAGCTTGCCCCGCACTGTTTGGACTGACTGTCGGAGCTAATGCAGGCCCAGAGGCACCGCGCCTTATAGGAGAGTGTGTACCCCCCACCTGGCTCGTGTCTGTCGCTTCCAGTTCCCCCAGTTTGGCCTCCTCCTTCCAGAAAGAACCAGACATTATTCTTCACCCTGTGTGTGTCCATCTTCCAGTCTCAAAGCCAGCAACGATGTTTCTTTTATTCAGATGTGCTGTGCATGAATGTTATTGCACCATCGATCATAAACTTTATTTGTTAAGCAGGATTTGAACTGCAAGTGGTTGGCATGGTTGCCTCGCGCCTCTGGGACCTGGGTTCAAGTCTCTCTCAGGGTTCTGTGTGTGTGGAGTTTGCAAGTCCTCTGGCTACTCCAGTTTTCCCCCCACAAAACCATAATAAGGCTATTTGGAGTTCCCAAGGTGTGATTATGCCTTGTGATGAGTTGGTGCCCCATCCTGGATTTTTCCCTGCTTTGTGCCTGGTGTCTCCAGGATAGGCTCCAGACCCCCCATGACCCTGAATAGGACAAGTGGTTTCAGAAAATAGATGGATGAATTAAAGTGGACAGTGACCCCTCCAAGACCTTATGTGGTATGAGACTTTATCAAGGTACTGTTGTATTTGAAATGAAGACAATGGTACACAGGAAGAGTGTCCTTTCTCTGGTACTGAAGTTCAGTCCATTCTGTAAAATGGCTGCTCCTTGTTGCAGTGGCCAGGACATGGTGCCTCAGCAGTGGGTTTAATGTCCCCTTATCATGGAGGTGCTGGTCAGGGTTTTGATTATAGTTGACCATCTGCTGACCTGGTTCCGTACTCGGGTGTGTTTGCGCTGTGGTTCTGGAGGGAAACATCATATATGTCGCTGTTTTTAGTTTGTGTTGCCCAGGTTATGGAGGGTCAGTTTGCAGCACAGTTTGCAGATTTTTCGGTACAAATACACATACTAGACTGGGTAATTGGCTGAAATATGTGTGTTTGAGCAGGGAAATCAGTAACTGTGTTGGATTCCGACCCTCCAGGACTGGCATTGGGTAACCCTGGTGTAGATACACCTCTCCTTTGCACTCAGGTAAGCACTGCAATGTGGTGTCCAGTAAGTTGACTCCGTTAGAATATTATTTGCTGAACATCCCTGGATATCCCAACACATAGCACTGAAAGACATTTATTCTTCCCTCCACATAGTATCTAAACATGTGGGATTTCTGTGACAGACTGAGCAAGTGTTTTAACCTAATCTGTGAGATGCATAGATGTGTCCAGCCCACCACCCATCTTGCTCCCACCTGCCTCGGAGATGCTATGTCCTCATTACGTAAGATGTCCCTCATGCTCCGGATCGGGCCACATGTCAGGGGGAAAGGCACAGTTTGACCTCTTCAGGGGGAAAACGTACATAGAGAGACGGATATTTATTTGGACGACAGACCCCAGATAGGCAGGAACACGAGCCACCCCATTTGTAACAAAAGACAAGATGAATGATGATGATTACAGCGAGATATAAATACACTGCACTTGGATCTGAATTCAGTTCGAGATGGATGAAGAACCTCATAGTGTAGATGATTTGCAAAGTGTATAATGGGGTAGTTTGTCTCCAGTGGCTGATTTGTGACGTTAATAAATTAAGTCATATTCTACATTTAGAGAAATGGCTTCTAACCAAAAAAGGTATAACGAAAATATTTAAACAAAAATAAGAGTTTCTTTAATCACCATAGGTAGAGATTAGGGGTTTTTTCTGTCTGTAGCTCTTTGTGTCATTATTGAAGTGTAGCATGAGGAAGTAACACTGATCCATCCATCCATCCATCCAACCTCCATTCTTCCATAACCATTCATCCAGAAAAGGGTCACACTGAGCCTGGAGCCTTTTAGAGGAAGTTCAGGGCACCAGGCAGGGGATTCCTTAGTCAATTTGCCAGCCTATCACAGGGCACAAGGCTGGGAACACCCTGACAGGTCCATCATCAGGTACGAGGCGTGGGACATGCTGGACAGGATGCCAGGCTGTCGCAGGGCACTGGAGACTGAGTTCTGACATCTTCTCCGGGGTGTACCCCTGCTTTGTACTCTATTCTGCCTGGGATAGCCTCCGGGCGCCCTGACCCTGTTAAAAGACGGATGGATGGATGGATGGATGGGCTGTGTATTGTCTGGAGACTGTGTTATGAAAGTCATTCTTTGCACTGGAAATTTATTTGATTGGAAATATTGGGTCAGCTGGAATCAAGTTCTATCTTATTGGTAACCCTATATATACGGATTACTCTTCCACTTTGGATGAAGACAATTCACTTAGGTCATTACTCCTCACCAGACCACTTCTCAGTGGTCTGGTGGCACCTAGACCAGTAATATGCACAAGAATCCTTCTCGCTGTGGGGGAAATCAGATCTTCGGGTGTGAATAGATCGGTTACTCTGAGCCCTACTGATGATATTTCGTCTAACTCACACGGTCCAGCACAAGGTTTGCTACTTAAAAGTTTGCCAGTTCTTCTGTGCCCTGCACTAGAACTGCTGGATTATGGCAATAATCATAATCATGATTATTTTGACCAATATTGAGATCATGATTATCTACCCCCATTATTTCTCACAATTACTCTTAACTGCAGAAACATTGTATTTATTGAATCTTAATAATGAAACTTACATTTTGTTTCAATTCACTTACATTGAATTGAAACAAAAACACAATTTTAATAGGATAACATACGTTGAACTTGTAGAAATATATTTTTTAATTAATAATATACTGAATATACTGTTCTCTGAGGTTCAAAAACAATAAACTTTTCAGCAAGAAAAACTAATTTGTTTACATGATCTGGCTTCAGTGATGCACGATGGCACAAGACAATATTTCCAGCTGTGCTGTAGACCGTCTCTTTTGCTAAATAATATGTCTTAGCATCCGTTATATCTCAGTGTTTTTGAGAACTTGACGGATACACGGTTGCATTTTAGAGGGTGTCCTTAACGGATAACTGCGCTGCAGTACGAGTTGATAAGCTTGCCTCACATTTATAGACCTCTTTATGGTAATAGACCACTTTGTGATTAAGCTTTAAGTGGTTAAATAAACTGGTCGTGTTGCCTTGTGGTGCAGACACAGCTTTGAAACATATTCTGCTAATTATTTGCTGTTGTTCTTGGTCCGATTCGTAGAAACCAAAATGATTCCAAATAACTGATGTGCGTTTACCTCTTGTCGACCAAAGGTACCCATCCTGACTTTTTGACCGTGAACACGTTTTGACTGCTGTGCTGTAGGGAATTTGCCAACAGCGTTTAAGGACGGGCAAAGTGCACCGCTGTAAAATTAGTTCACCGATCTGGATTTATTGCGCAAGATAAAGTAGGGCATTATTTCAATATGAGATACAAACAAATATAGTTTTTTCTCGATTATCATTTTTTCATAATCGTGGGAAGCCATAATTGTAATCAAATTTGATTAATTGCACAGGTCTACCCTGCACCCTAGGATGCAAGCTGAAAGTTTAACCTCCTGAGACCGCACCCAATCATTTATGTCCATTGTAGTGGACATATTGTTTTTGCATCTATCTTTTCACTGATGTAAGGAAACATATTTATTCCTGGTGTACACTAGAGAGGACATGCTGTGAAATTAAAAATACAAATAAATTTGAAAAAATCTAAATTGTAAGACGTCTTATTTCCTCCAAAGACAAATAACCTAAAATTGAAGGACATTTTTTTCCTTGGGTCTCAGGAGGTTATATGACCTGCTAATCCCTCAGATACATAACTGCAATAAGGAAGAGGAAAAAACATGAGAAGCTCCTTAAGCATGTAGTTAAACATGTTCTTTGTAATGTTTTATCTTTAATATTTTTTAAGTTAATAGTAAAAATATGAATGCAGGCAGACACATGAACTAGTGTACTATTCATATGTAAAAACTGAGATGTGTTTCACAAATGATAAGTGACAAGTTTCTCTGACTTAAGGCACAAATTCACACGCAGCTTTAAAAAAAAAAACACGTGCTTTACCAGGAGGAAGCAGATTTTACCTCCTCTCCTCAGAGAACAATCCGGAAAATGCTTGGAAGCATCCCCAGGAGTCATCACATAAACACATCAAACTTCCCATGATGCACAAGCACTTGTTGAGTTATAGCATGCAGTTATAATCAGCAGACGCTTTAAGCCTTTCGGATATTAAAATCCTGCTGTCCCCCCTTTGAAGTGGCCTCCATTTGTTGCTCTCCTTCCCCAGAGAATTTTTCATTCCCAGCAGCAGTCGCATTGCAAGGGATTAGGCATGTGGTGTGGACAGGACGTGGAGTCAGAGGCATCATGCGAAAGCTGCACTCTGTGTACTGAATGCTTTGTGACTTTTTGACCTGGGCATGTAAAGCTCAGCATTAATTACCCGAGACTGGAGAATGCCGTGTTCTATCCACACTTTAAGCGAAGGTCAAGGATGGTTCCGGAACTTTCGGTATTGAAAATCTGTATCGCTGCCTTAATCTCTCACGTCAGCACCGATAGTAGGAAGAGGAAGTCTGCTGCTTAACAGTGATGACTGTTGGCCTGGTTACACTGAGGCTGAGATTTCAGGCAGAAGTCAGATCTTGCATTGCATTGCATTCTGTTTATTTTAAGGGTGAAAGAAGGAGCTATATTTAGAGAGTGGCAATAGGCAACGTTCAGAGAGGTACACGCCCGATAAGACTGCGAGGTAAGCGAGCAAAAAGCTGCCTCTTGCTTCAGCGATGGCCGGTGACAGCAGCTGAGTCTCTAATCCGCAACTCCGCACTCGGATAGGATGTCCCTTTGTCCCTCGTCATCTCCAGCTCTGCATAAGCTGTCTACTGACAACTTTTGAGTCCAAATTCATAGATTTTTGTGTTACTTGAATGTTTTTAGTGTGGAAAGATAAAAATAGAGGGTGTCATATTACTACATAAAAGACAAAAAAATGAGACAGATTACATAACTTCCATGGATTACTGTGGGTTTGAAGTATGAGAAGGGTGACTGTAATGAGGTTCTTGTGGACTTTTAGGGGCATATTTATCAGCTATCATGCCAGGTGTCTGAAAAGTAAATCACAACTCATTTATATTCTTGCCATATTTAATATATTGTATGGAAATACAAATACAACATGCAATAAGAAATTTTAAAGTTATTTAATGAAAAATGTCAGATTCTACTTTAAAGGCATTTTCCTTTACATTTGTTGTGTTATATCACCGTTTGAGCTTTATTCCATCAGCAGTTCAGTCGCTGCAAATTCATTTGTTAAAAATAAAAAAATTAAATAAAAATACATAAAACATAAACGTACATGATAAGCACTGTCTACAATGAGTCTCTTCATTCACTGTGTCTCTCCAGGCCCTGATTACATCAAACAGCGGTTTAACGACCCCATGGAGATCAAGGAAGTCACTGAGGAGAAGAAGGAGAAGTGTTCCTCAGGGAGTCCCCATTTCTACCGGAAGGGCACGACCCCGACTCACTCCCCTGCCCACAGCCCTCAGGCCTCCCCAGCCCCCTCGCCTCACACCACCAAGAAGAAGCCGCCCCAAGTCAACAGCAGCTTGGGCAGAAAACCCAGCAGAGACGAGACATACTCCTTCGGCCCAAATCCACCTGCCAGCGTCCCCAGGGCCGCCTCCCGGACGTCGTTCAGGCAGGAGGCCGTTCCCCAGAAACCCCCCAAGAAGGAGGAGCCGACAGCCAACTCAGTGAGTCCTGGCAACGGGCAGGTGCACTCGCAGTACCACAGCTACCACGTGATGGCTGAGGTGACGCTCCCCCAAGAAGAGCCACGGGATGATCTGCAGGTGCCTCAGGGCCCCAAGCAGTTCGGGCTGCCGGCCTCTAAACCCATCCTGGCGTTGCCGGCTTCCAAAGAAAGCATGCCTGAGGCGAAACTCAGGAAACAGGAATCTCTCAAGCCAAAGAGTCTTGTCGAAATGAAGAAAGGCAGTATGGAGATCAGCAGCGACGTCGAGGAGGAGGAGGAGACGGTGAGTACTGTGTTGGGGCTTCATCAGTGCTCATCTACGCGGGTTCCTCCAGGGTTCCTTAACCTCTTTTATGATGGCAGCTTGATATGTGCCCTTTCTCTCGTTATCGAGGCAATGACCTTACCTGTCACATGCATTATCATGTGACCCTGAGTAAGGAAACGGCCAATAGGAGTCAAGGTTGCAAATCCAGAATCGGGGCTCAGTGCATTCATTATTCATTCCTAATTAAGGGTAGGTGCCCTTATGCAGGCGATTTGACATGTAGACATAGTTCCCAGCTAGAACGCTTCCATTTTCTGTCACCTGATGTCAACACAACCTGTGAATCAAACAGCTGAGTCCTGACCTGCAGAACAGGGCTGCTGATTCACCACTGAGTGTCTGAAAGAGGTCCTAAACTTTCCAGGTGCTTCAGGGAATTGCTGAGCCAGCATTCTCAAAATGTACGTCACTTTGGGTAGGAGCGTCTGCTAGACGAATGTAAATTTTCCGGTGAAACTTCGTCAGGTCAAAAAACATTAAGATGACAGGAACTGTTTCCCAAATCAATTAGTTCCCCAAATCAACAGTGCAATTAGACAGGACAGTTGAAACAGATGGTTTGTGTGGGGGGGTAAGGTAAGGTACATAAAGGATTAGATATAGAGTTAGAAGTCCAATAGCTGTTATCAGATTTACAGAATAAAGTGCCTAGCCCAGTAGGCGGAGATATGGGAGTTAGACTGGAACAAGCTTGGCAAAGTGATGTCACGACTGGGCCCCTAAGCAAGGCCCTAACCCCAATTACTCCAGGGACAGACACGATTGTTTCAATTGTACATCACTTTGGGAAAAGGTATCTGGTGAATTAATAATACTAGAGGTCATGTTGTCTGTTGTCTTATTTGTCATGAGGAACCATTAATAATTTTAGTAATAAGTGTATCTGAAGTCATTTGTTAGAGGGTGCTGGTACCTACTGAGTAAGGTCCAATTTATGTGATTAGATAGACAGACAGACAGACAGAACAAATACTTTGTTAAATTTCCCTGCCTAGTTTTTGAAATACAACATTATGCTGAACTGTTTGTATCTTGTTTTGTTTTGTTTTGTTTTTAATCTGCAGGGACCGAACTCAATTTTGGTTGCCCTTGTAATGCTGTTGAATATTGGTCTAGCAATTATTTTTGTCCACTTCCTGACATGACAAAGTTGCGTCCTGGGTAAGTATTATCTGTGTGGCTGCTCAGAACAGCACCTATTGACAATTTAAATGTTCACATGAAACCTTAAGCAGTTTTTACACGTAAAAAAAGCCTCCATCTGTCATAATATACTGCGCCGTGCCTGAATGTAATTATTTAACCTTTGAACTTTTTTGGCCCTTCAGTGAAGTCATGACAGCTAGCAGCAAGCGGCCTGAAGCTCCGCACCTGTAGAAACAAAATGGCGGCAGTCAGCCTCAGACATGGTCGAAGAAGGACTGGAATTGGCGAGGAGCACAAGAGTAAGACGAGACGCGGAGCATTCAGGCGGCGGCTGGCCAGCTCTGTGGCTCGTTTGGGTCCTGTGAAAAGTGAAGCTGAGTGGCCGTGTTGAGGAAAAAAAATTAACTGATTTAAAATGAAGAACAACAAAAATAAAACACAGAAATCTGCTGATTGAAGCCGTGAACAGCGTGAAGGGCACAGGGCCCGTTCCAGCAACAGAGAGAGAGAGAGAGAGAGAGAGACTTACCTGGAAATATCCAGCGATGCACTTTTAGCTGACGGAGGCTGACAGCTGCCTTACTATTTTGCCATGTGACATTCTAGCGGGGAGACGTGGGGCTGCACCTGCCAGAGGAATTTGTTGAGAGGACCGTGCATTGGGCAGGTGGGGGGTGGGGGTGGGGGGGAGCTCCCACATCTCCCGCTGAGGGAAACCACGTCACCCCCCACACCCCTTGGTTCCGCCTTATTCCATCTCCAGCTCGCCCTAACGTGTCCCATCCCGTGCCCCTGATTCGCCATACCCTTTGCATGGTACACTACATTACTATTTTTTATTCTTCGTTTGCTGTTTTTTTCCCCCTACGTTTGGATTATCAACCGTACACGCGTCTAAACCTTTTCTTGGAGCATTACAAATTCACATTGAAGTTTTGAATTCTCAGCCTTTTTGGTATCATAACACCATAACAATCAGTCATATTCTGATTTTAATAAAAGTGCAATATGTTTTATTTTTTTAAAAGAAAGAGGGATATATTTTGACACTAAAGGGTTTCTAGTTGTTATTATAACTGTCATAGGAATTACATTTAATTTCCTTTATTTAGAAATATCATATTACACAGAGTGTGTGGAGCCTCACTTAAGGAGCCTACAGGGAGCTTCACCAGACGTATAGGAAGCAGCCGGCACACGACGAGACTGAATGCTGACAGAGTCTTATCCTATTTATTGTTTTTAAGAATACTAATGCTAATAAACTATGCTGTGATGTTGTAACATAGGCATCGCATATCGTGCATGAGAATTCTTATGTTTTTGTTTTTTTTTGGAGATATTTGTTTGCCCCTTTTGACGAGGGGGGGGGGGGGGCGGGGCCAGGTAGGTTGCTGGCTCTGGAGCAGCGTTCACGTGCATGTTCACGAGGCAGGAAAGGCAGCGCGCTCTGCTGCATGCCTCTGCCCAAGACGTTCAGGTAGCGGCACTGGGCGTGAGCAACAGATGTCTTTAGAGTCCTTAACAGTCCTGCTGTTTACCTCGAAAGAACAAAAAAAATGGAGAAGAATGCCTAAAATGAAGGGATTTGTCTTAAGGTTTAAAGTTTGTAAACAGACTGGCTGCTCATAATCATTAGTAATGTCCCTCTTCACTGTAAGCGCCGTGGCAGTGTGTGTCTCTGTGTTACCAAAGCATTTTGTGTCATAATGACTTTACGAGGATGGTGCATGTACGCAGGAATGGCCGGTGACACGATGAGGGTTTAGCAGGGAAAAAGCAAGCAGCTTCGATGTGATTTAATTTAACTAGTAATGTGCATGCTTGAATGGCGTGAGGTTGTTGTTAAAGTGCTGTGTGACGGTGCTGGGGAACGTGTGCGGGTGCCTGTGGACAGGGTGCACTGCATGTATGTTTTAAATGCTAACTGGTGGCAGACCCTGTGACTGCACAGACAATGCAGAGTCTGATGGACTGACCCCATATTTCACTTCATGACATACACATCACCCCCCCAGTCTGAACACAAACATGCATAGTAAAAGGAGTAGGGTTAGAGGGTTTTAACACAGCATCGGGGATGTTTTTGGAAAAAGCAACAAAGCAAAGCATGATGGGATTGTTTATATATAGATTATATACAATTTGTAAGCATTTTTACAGAGCACAATCGAGAATCTGGTACTAGCTGGTCTTTTTTTAAGATGTGCACAGCTGCATTTGACTATAATGCTAACTTGTTCTTAATGGATAAATGTGACACTCACATCACGTGGTTTTGATGTGTCCGGTTTCTAATGCCATCAATGGAACATCACCACCTTCTGGACACCGGAGGCGGCCCGCGGCCTCGTTTGAGGGGTTTGCCGCTGAGCCCTATGCATCGACGGCGCCTCAGAGACACTGACGAGCCGAGCTGCAAACCGCAAGCCTCGAACCCCGCAAAGCCCGGAGAACTTCTGTCGTGTTCTTGGAGACGGACTTCCGCGCATAATAAAAACTTGTCGCCAACTTGAGCTCTGTGGTTTTTCTCCTCCGCACCCGCGGCAGAGCACCCTGTAGCACGACGATACATTTGCAGTGCCAGTTTTGAGCAGATCGATGACATCACAAACAGGCAGCGGGCAGGCCACCTCATACCGCTGCGGTCTCGCCCAGAGTGGGCCGCAACCAAAACGCAATTCAGTGTCACGCTATGTGAGCTCACCTTACTGGAAAATCAGATGTCATTAAGGTCAGCGATTAAAAGGAAACCGTTAATATACACCAAGTTCAAAGCAGAATCCTCAATACCCTTCACATGGAAAGTTCCTGTCTAATCACAGGCACTATTTAACCTTGATGGGTGTGCTTTAAAGTGTACCTCTCTCTCCTTAAATCCCAGCTAGAGGAGAAGCCGTCACCCACAAGCTTTAAGAAACTTTATCAGGTCATGACCCTGCTATGCAGGTGAGGAGAAATATGTCAAACGCCCAACGGGGAGTGTCCTGCGACCCTCTGCAAGGCGGCCTGTTTATGAATGCAGGACAGGAAAAGACTCTCAGGCCTGTTACCAGGGGAACCAATCCTGGTGCAATTAGAGTATAATAACACTGCTTGACATTTACTGAGCAGAGACCACTGCTCTCCAGCTGCTCGGTGGCCAACAAACAGAATTTGTTTATGAAGGTTTGTACCTCATGTTATTTGTAAATGATTTAGATATATCTGTAAATAAAATCCAGATACTTTATGCCCATGTACCGTGCCCTGTGCATTCTGGGACAGGCTCCAGCACACCGTGACCCTGTACTCAATAAGCAACTAGTGAAGGTGGATCCTGCAACATCTAACCCTGAAACAATACTCCAAAATATATGAAGATATCTCAAACTGACATAAACGTATTTTGAAGAAATGTAATTTTGCCCATAAGCAAAGTTGTGAACTGCAATGTGTATAAATGACAGCTATAAATCAGCTTGAATAAGTGTAACAGGAGGGGCAGCCCTGACTCAGAGAATCGTACCCACTGTCAAGCGTCACAGAAGACTAATAATTCGGGTCCCTTTAACACATCAGCAACAACAGCAGGTGTGCGAGCAGGCCGATCATGCACGGTCACCGGTCACCATTACGCTGCTTTGGTGTGTTGCTAGTGGGCCAGGTGACGTTTGTGCCAAGCAAGGATTGAGGAATTGAAAATATTAAAGATACGGAATAAAGAAGCCTGTATTTCACACTTAAGAATGCTTCTATGAGTCTGAATCCTTTCATTTGAGGTATAAGCTAGTTTAATTATTAATCAACTATTATTATTATTTATTATTATTATTAAAAGAACTACATATTGTGGGCTGGAACTCTAGTTAAACTGTTGCGTTTGATGTGGAAAAATATGTCACCTGAAGTCTCCTTTTAAGCTGTCATTTTGTTTTAGGTACATAAGTTCTGTGCCAGTAGAACATGCACAGCAGGTCCAGCAAACACCTCTCCAGTGAAATGCTAAACCGTCACAGCCACTTAAAGAGACACGCACTTCTGGGTGTTTCCAAAACTGGACCAGTGCTGATAAGCAGTGACAGGGATATCACTGGCGATGATTTTTAAAGCAGTTGCTCAGACATCATTAACAAGTAGATCCCATTTCCATGCTGAGCATGATTCACCGACTGAAATTTGCCCCCATTCATTTCCATATGAGCCTCTCCCATACGATTTCAACCTTTTAAGCTAAAGTTGAGCTTTACTGATTTAAAATCTTGTATATACAGCAGCAAGTACGTCAAGTTAGTAAAGTTTGCTAATTTTTTACATTTTGTTTTGCCCGGTTAAAATGGTGGGTGGTAATTAAGAGTTTATGTGCTATAAGATGCGGGTGGGGATCTAATCTCATTGGCTGATCTTAAAACCCAGGCTCTGGTTGGCTCATCATGATTTGGGCCATGTTATTACTCAGCATCCACAGTGAATGATTTCAAATAGACACTCCTTATATTAGGTTACATTAATCATACTGACATATATATTCAAGTGTATTTGAGGGCACCTTTTGAATTTATTATATTTCATAGCAATTAAAAAATATATTGCAATTTAATGATTATCTTAAGTTATCTTTATTTATTGAGATATAGGATGCAAACCATTTTCACAGACCAAGCAAAGCAGAGTATGGACAGTAAATGGAATATTAAAATTAAAGTAACTGCAATATTCAACAAGTATATAAACACTTTGTTGTGGTAAATTGTCAAGTGAATGTCACTGTGGATGCTGAGTAATAACATGGCCCAAATCATGATGAGCCAACGTCTGTCACTCCAGTTTGCAATGCTAACACAGAAAAAGACTGCACAGCTTATGTAAAATGCTCTTGCACCAGGTGAAGTAACCATTAATAATACTCCAGCGGGAGATGTAGTGTTCTCTTACATTATGTGGAGTAACAATTAATACTTCAGAAGGAGGTGTAGGGACACCATATGGAGTAACAGTTAATACTGCAGCAGGGGATGTAGTGTTCTCTTGCACCATTTGGTGTAATAATTAATATTCCAGCAGGGGGTGTTGTGTTCCAAGCTAATCAAAAGCCAAGGTATCTTTTATTGTTTTCCTCAGATATACTGTATGACGCATGGAATCATACACTGAGCTGAAATGTTGTTCTTGTTGGTCGTAGTGCAAATGAAAGTAATAGATAGAATATAAATACTAAGACATACTAACATAACACAGACATGACATTTTAAGACATGACATTAAGATGCAAAGATACATGTAAGCACCTGATGGGTGGGGAAAGTGTGAATAGGTAGAGAAGTTTGGCAGTGAATCAGAATCAGAACTAGCAATCTACTCACTTTAGCTGACAGCCAGAGTATGGAAAAGTTTGTGTTCAGTACACATGCTGAAACCCTGAATCCTCCTGTTTATTTCGACCCACTTGTCCAAAGCATAGGGGGGGGGGGGATTTCAGGATGGGAAAGCATGGAACACCTGTGGCACTGCTCTCAGATCCTGGTGATGAGTTCATGGTGAGGTGCTGCCCTTTCGGGGCTCCGCAAACAGCCAGAGCACGCCCCAAGTATGCTTAGCAATACTGCTACTATACTAGCTGAGGTCAGGGCTGTGCCTTGTCAACCCAGGAAGCTGCCGTTCCACTGATTACTGCATTGCTGTTTTGAGAGGAACATTATTTTACTCAAAATCTGATCGCGTTTTTCCTTTTTGCCAGTTTGTCAAAATCAGTGATATTACAGACCAACTGCCGCCCCCCCAGCTTGGTTTATTGTATCGTCAGGGTCTCTCACCGTCATGGGACAGTGGACCTTGATTTTGTGTTGCTGTTGTTGATGGAATCTGGGGACTCCTGTTATAGGCAGGAGGGTTTTTTTTATTATTGGGTTTTTCTTTATCAAAGCGACAGGCAACATTACAGCATTTTAAACCCTGGAAATAACTCAGCACTTACTCAGTAAATCCTGCAATGAATAGAGTTACTCTTGTCATAAAGAGCAGCTTCTCTGCATGTATGCATGTATCACTATTATTCATTAGGATTTATTTTGGTGGGTTAGTAAGCCTTACCCCCGCCCCCACCCCCCCCCGGAGGAGTCAGTTTGCCATGACTGGGGAGATCGCCTTGATTTACAGCTACTTAACCCCCCCGGTGTGGAAAAGGAGCCAGCTCAGAAGGATTGCTGCGGCTCCCCTTTGCACTAAAATAGTGAGCAGTGGCGAGCCTCAGACAGAGGTGGTCTCTCTGCATCATTTTCACACGCAGGAAGAAGAATCTGGAAGGTCAGGGGACAAGGGGCTGATTGAAGATGCTACATTTAAATTCTCCAGTTTTTTAAAAGATTACAAACCACCAGAACTCTTTCTGCATGGGTA